TGTCTCGCTCTGCCTCCCTCAAGGGCTGGGCCTGTAAGAGCGCATGCCCAACAGGAGCAGGGAGGCTGGGAGGAGCCCTGCATGTGATCTCCAGCGCAGCAAGAAGCAGAAAGAGGAGGTTGCACGCTTTTGTTCCCTTTGGAATGATAGGGGGAAAGAAATGCATCTAAAGAGGTCTTGCAATGAGTTCATCAAATACTACACTAATTGAGTAGGGCTGTAAGGATAAGCGAATGAAAGTTTGAAATATGAACACATCCAAGGGGTTCAGATACTATCAAATTCTCCTTTCAAAATATTTTAACTACTGAACAATTAAATTTGTTCCAAAAACAAAACTCTCAAAGAGCGTTTCATTTAATACTAAACCTCATTTAAATAGTCCCCCCATGGTATTAGGAAAATATCAGAGAAGAACAATTCAGAAACATTGAAACAGAACTTGAAGCTTCCAAAAACTCATCAATATTCTAATAGTTGGCATTTTTAAAGCATTCATTTTCCGGATCTCTTGAAGGTTGGAAGCTTTGATGAAGTTTTGAAAATAATTTCTGGCTGTTGGACTTGGAAACATGGTGTGTCATATAAATAAGTCCAACTGCTGTAAAGTAATGAGACTAATGAACTTTTTTTCCCCTTAGAAAAAAAAATGAACTCCTTTCCAAAATCCTTAAAAAAATTGTTTTTCAGGAATTGTATGTTTACATTTAGACTAAACATATGAAATGAGTTCAATTGGCAGAAACATGAAATACTCTTCAAACAGCATTCAAATGTTTGATACATATTTATTTCTTTTTCATCTAAGTTGAACCAAATAGAAATTGGATGTAATGGTACAAATTCTGTAGAGTGGCAGATCCATGTTATACTCAAAGAGACACGTTGCCAATGCTTTCTGCAGCTTCCACCAGGTGATTGAAAGTCTCATGGTTTATAATCAGTGAAAAGAAATAAAATGGTACATGCTGTTATGGACCCTGCCAAGAAAACAAAAAGATACCATAGAGACAAAAATATCCCAATACAGTGCTCCAGCTTACAACTAAGCCACTTAAACACAAACAGAACATGTTCAATTTATAATGAAAGCCAATATATAAAGCTATACTTTTAATGAAATAAAATAAAACAAACATACCAGTTTAAATAACACTGTTACAACCAAAAGCCTGTTCATGGGATATCTATTATTTATATTTAATTAAAATGTTGCAAAATAAGTACTTCTTTTAAAATCTAACTCATTGTGATATTTTTTGCTACAGGGAAAACAATATAAGTACTCCATATTATTAATCTAAGCGTGGCACTTTTTCCTGATATCCCAAATACAATATTAAGTACTTTTCTTAATATATTTTACAGGCTAAAGATGTCACAACACAATTCATTTTTAAGGACAATGGATGCTGTGTTTGTTTCATGCCTAACACTAATGCTCAAAATGATTTATTGTACTGTACAAATTTTACAAATATTTATACTATTAAGACACACAAAACCCTACACCTGATAGCAAATATTAAACAGTCAGCAAGAACATCCTAATCAGTTAACTAATTTTGGAAAGGAAAAAAAATTCTCTAGTGTGTGTGTGTGTCTATATGCTTATACACACATATTTGGAATTGTTTCTTACTAAATAGCCAAAAACTTTCTGTTTCCCTTTTTCTATTCTTTTTAGTCTTTATTTCTATTTTCAATACCTGGTTCTCCAAATTGATAGGCTTACACTGAAATATCCAATAATTAATACAAAAGAAAATATGGCAATATAGAATGTTAGACATGGAAGAGATCTCCTAAGTAATGACGTTAAATCCCTTTAAATTGTAATCCTGAAAAATCTGATCCCTAGCTCAGTGGGTGACATTGTGCTGAGAGAGGAGACACCTTGACATTGTGTGGAGAAGGAGAATGTGGAGACTCCTTCTCTTTGCATGTCCTCTCCTGGAATAGAAAGGGGGTGAAGAAGCAGGAAATCAACTACATGGAGGTGCCCTTTGGAACAAGGATGGATGGCTGTTGAGAACTTATCAGCTATGTGTTCCTAGAGACGAGGAGTTTTCTTCACCAAGGTTGTGTCCGAGTGGGTGAAAGTGAATCCTTAGCTCCTCCAAGTCTTGCAGTTGCCCAAGTATGTACCCTTCCTGAATTCCAGGAAGAGGAACCTGTGACTTGTTTATAATTTTCCAAGTCTGAGCATTTCTCAAAGGAGAATCTGAATTTTAACTCTAATCCCAAACAGAACAAAGACTATAAACACATTTTGTAGCAGGTTTCAGATTCTCAAGAAAGACAGAGCAACATAGATTGTTGGTTTGTATTTTATATTTATCTTAAAGTATGTGAGGTTTGAGTATGTGTAGGTGCAGCGGACAAAGGGGGAGGGAGATTAAAGAAATTAATGCTGTGGGACATGGGATGTAATCTTGGAAACTGCTTGTTCAGTCACTTCCTCTTTCCCAGTTCTCAAGCTACTGCCATCAGTGGGTATGTGGCAAGATACATGATGACTGAAAATATAAATATATATATATATGTATATATATATACCTATGTAATACATATATATGTATATATATAATTTTATATAATTTTTATATATGTATGTATATATATATATACATATATAATTTAATGCCCTACCTAAATTTAGACCTGAACCCTCAAAATTGTCTTACAAGATTTATTTCAAGTTAGTATTTTCACAAGCTATCTTTGGGTTGGATTTCTTTTCCCAGAATCACTTAAACATTTCACATAAAATGTTTATTTTCTGGTTAAGAGTCATCTCATTTTAGCAAACATCTTGCCTGTGCATTTAATGTTAGCAACTTAGTGAGATCATGTCTCAAAATTTTAAAAGACAAGTAAAAAAGGTCTGGGGATATAGCTCAGTGGTAAAGAATTCCAGGATTCAATCCTTGGTATAAAACAAAACAAAAAACCCACAAAACCTCATGTTATACAAAAAGCATTTTATCAGCTTTATTATTTCAGTTGCCAAATATTTAATTTACAGGTGACATCATCATTATCACCATGAATTGATTGTGTGTGTGTATTAAGATTAAAATAACTACTAATGTCATGTCCACCTTACTTCTGTTTTAAAGAAAAAAGAATCAGATATAGGACAAAATCCTGCTTTTCCATCTCATGTGTTAATGGGAGAAGTTTTTCAATAAACTGCTCTAATGAAAATACCATTCTTGCTTTTCTGCTCACTATGAGTATTTCAGACACAAACTTTGCCAAGGAACATGTGATCTTTGTTTCTGGTTCTGTTTCTACAAATTAGGTAAGGTTTTATTGAAATACTGCTTTTCAATAGCAGCTTTCCATACAAGATGTTTTCAGTTATGGTTAATGGGTAGCAATGTCCTCCAGTGGATTTGTAGGTAAACAGCAAGTGGATTTTTCAGATGTTAGTTTTCCATATATTTGCATTTAGTACTTTTGGAACTTGGAGGCTTATCTGAATGAACTTTTAAAATTTCCTTGAAATATGTACCTATTAATTAATTTTAGAATAAAACCATAAGCCATTACAAGTAATCAACACTAACTTCTTAATTATATAGTCTATAACTTTGAAAATTAAAATAAGTATTATTTATTTTTTTAAATAAATGTTCATGATTGTTTTTATGTGCAATCCACTTCCTTTTACTTTTTATTTAAATAAAACATTTCATAAAATTCCTATTTTTTAAGAAGAAACTGCTAGATATTTAAAGTGAGAAAAGGAAAGACTTTAAGAAATAAATATTCTCCTAAATGCAAAACTTTGGCAATATTTATAAGACAAAGGTAAAAATGCTCTGAAGATCTAAGTAGATAAAGGAACTCATGAAATAATTTTCTTGTTTTTTATAAAATAGAAAGTTTTGATATCTAAGAGCAAAATGCTTTAATTTTTTTTTTCACAAATAAAACATCATATTTCCAGAATATCTTTTAGATCAGGGAAGATTCTTTTGAAAGCTTCAAAGTTTAAGTTTAAAAAGAACTTTAGTAATGTTGTATTTAAATTTCTTATATTACCTCTATCCTCAAGCATGACACAAATATTATTATTGTTTTATTTCAGTTAGTCATTATAATCTACTTTCATGTTTCTTTCCTAGACTGACAGGAGAAAAAGAAATGTTACGAGAATATACCACAAGAGGGCAGCAAAAATCTTTTATTTTTTCTAATCTCTTTGGTCTTTGTTACCTTTCTGAGAAGTAGTGTTACCTTCCTTCTTTTCACATTGAAGTAAAATTTAAAGGGTTGATTTTCTTTACAAAAAAAGAAATACTTTTAATATGGTCTTGTAAATTTTTTTATGAAGGACACAGCCTCAAAGTGACATTTTTCTTTCATGATTTACAGCAATGACAACACACCTGCTTCATAAAACTTATGGCTTAGACGACATTAATACAATAATTCTTAAAAACTACAGAAATTCACACGAGTGTTAAAATATATGATAGCTGGATATTCTACACCATTGTAGAGAGGAAACATTTTGAAAGATCAAAATGTTTATTTTTATATTTCCCATGCTTATGAAATTCTCTAGATTTTCTTCAAAATTCTAATAATTTTAAGTCTTCCAAGGGTAAAATAAAATCATAACTTCCATGGAAAAGTGGCTCAAACTCAAAACTACAGTTGTGATCATTTTCTGATAAATATAATGTGAAGCCATTAAGCAATGCACTTCTTTTTAAAAATTAGTTACATTTATGAGAGGTTTATCCAGTCAAATGAGTATGTAGAATAATTTATCACAACACCTTTATAGTCATTTCTGTACTACAGAAAACTTAAGTAATGGAAAGAAGGTGAATTTTCTCTCTCTCTCTCTCTCTCTCTCTCTCTCTCTCTCTCTCT